ATGCCTTTATTTTTAGACATAAAGTTCAACTGTGAGACATAATAGGCAAAGTGTAACATCAATATACCTATTCATGCCCACCAAGATTTTTTTTTGGTCAAGTRACCTCTCATAACTTTTGGGTCTGAAAGCTCATGAGTTAATACCTCGCTTACTCTACTGTTAAGTTCCTATTCTGCACTACTAATTCTAGYTAGCAAGTCCTGTCAAATCTACATCAGAGGCAACAGAAAAAAGTGGCATCAAACATTTCTGCACTAGACTCCTCAAAGTCTGCAAAATTACAGACAAACACAGAGAGAAATGTTAATTTGAATGGTAATGAAGTCATAAAGTACAAAAAAAAACCCCAAACTTCCCATTGAGTAATTCTGGGAAAACCAGATCAGTAATATCTCTCAAATCTACCACAATCTACCACAAGATGTTCCAGAGATCAAGCCCACCAGCATGACAATGCATCCACAAGACTTAATATCATAAATGAAATGCTATCTAGTATTTGTACCTAGTATCTATGATTTGTATGTTTAGAGGTAACAGAACTACAAGTTTTACCTTAAGTGCTTTACAACTACTTGATAAAAAGAATTATATAAGTGTTCTTCACAGAACCTCTGAGCACAGCTCCACATCAGCCTGGTTTCTCCTTTCACATTAGACAGTTGGATGCTGCTTATCTTTAAACACCTCGAAGACATTAAATAAATACGAGAAACAGGATCCTAGCCTCAGGTACAAGGTACGTATTTGGACAGGCACACCTTTCCTGATCAGTCAGCACTTCTGAAACAMAGAGAACATAAATTTGACCACACAAATAAAGACTAGCAATTAATTAATGAATTGAGGATCATCACTCCAGGGTATTCAAATAGGAGGCCTCACAGTACAAGCACATACAGTGAGAACACCCTGTGGATACCAACCCTTTTGCACCCACCACCCATCTTGTTAAGTCATCCACAAGTATGATACTTTCTCTTTGTATTTATATTTGGCCTTGCACCCTGGTAGTGCCAGTTTCATTATGTGTATATCAACATCACCGATTAGCACTGACATATTTCCAGCGTTCATTACTCAAAGGTTTCCAAGTCATATCAGCACTAAGATTCCTTGTATCTTATTTCTCATATGGCTTCAATGTACCTCTCTAGACATCTTCACAAATAAGCCAGACAAATGTGATCTAAAAGGAAATACTCTAAAGTAGCCATGTAAAACCATAATCAAATAARTAGCTTGTGGATCTCAGATGAACTTCTAAGATTATCAAAAATGAAAGCATCYCTTGAAAAATTTAGAAATGCTTGAATGGGAAGCAACACCAAAAAAAAGGTAAATCTGCTGCACAAGTACAAAGTCAAGAAAATCATTAGCCAGAAGTTCTGCAGAAAGGATATCAAGTTATAGGGGATCATAAACTGAGTACTTAGCACATGGCACTGTCAGTAAATACGATCAAATGGGAGGGTTGATTTTCATCTCAAAATTTTTCTATGGAGGCACCCATACTCAGCTGCTTAGTATTTCTGATCTAAAAGGTATTTGTTCTGCATTGTGTCTTATAAATCATATATTCTCCTCTGCCTATCCATCATTACACAAGTTTTTTATTAACTGCTTTTAAAAGTATTATGTACCTTTTTCATTGCTCACATAAATAACCTTCCCAAGTGTACACTTAAGATACAAACTATAGTGACCTATTTGCTTCCTGGATGTCGAAAGACTTCACCATTCCTCAACAGTCCAAACCCTAAAACTCCCAAGTGACCAACCTGTACAGCAACACAACTTCCCAACATACAAATACACAGSACACTGAATTTGCACAAATCCATTTTGGATGAATGACTTCCGTTTTCATGTACACACAAATAATAAACAGCAAAAAGTCAATTTTTAACACCAGAATGTCACAGTGTTTCCCGTCTGTCTCAAAAGTTCAGCTACAGAATGCAGAGCCAACAAGAACACCTGAAGGAAATTTACAGCRACTTGAATATTTAGTACTGGCTTTGAACCCGAAAGTAAAAGTGAATAGAATATCATCCTGCATTTTAGTCTGACTGTTGTTCTAAAACATGCATTTTATAATTAATACTATCTATTTCYTAATACAATACTTCATTTCAGTATAATGCTTGAATTCTCTCACAATTCCTCACAACTTCATCAGCTGGTTTTCCCAGCTAGGAGTTTAGGGGTTTGGTATCRTGGCTGGGCACTGTTCGTTTATACAAACAGTCTCTGCCTAGTTTGATCTTAAAAGCAAACCTCWGGGTGCTGCACTTGCCATTGAAATTTAGAACAGGCATTGGTCAGTTAGTGCTTCAAACTAGATTGCTGATATTTTCACAAAGTTCAGTTTTTCTAAACTAGTTTCTACAACATCTGATATTCAAGTGAACATGAATTTGAAATGTTGTAGTGAGGGCTAGCAAAATCAAAGTGATAGTTTAATACTCTGCTCTGAATAAACAATGCATTTTAATAGGTTTATGAATAAAGGTGCACTAGAAATGTTCAAATATAATTCATAGCATATATGACCATTAACATAAAGATATGAACTGTAACATCTACTGTTCCCAAGGTAAGAGAAGGCAACTTCTATCATAACAATAGACTATATTTTAGAAGATGTTTCCACAGAAAAGGACAAAGGGGAAGAAATCACTGAAAAAAATTGTCAACTACATCACAAAACAAAAATCCCTAGCACTGAAAACAGTCTATGCATTCCTTGCTAAATGTCTTGAGTGAACCCAGTGTATGATACTCATAAAACAATAGACCAATACATTATTGAAAAAGCTCTGGAGACATGGGAGGTTTTGAGACACCTTTGATGATTTAAAGGGAAGGCTTCATTGGTCTTGTAAAATTACTTACACWGTAAGTCTAGAACTACCCCGGATTTTTCTCAACTTCAAACATTTAGCTGCAAGCCTGCAGATCAGACTGAAATTTAACCGTGTCAAGCCACAAGCCTCTCCTTACTGGAAGCACATCAAGGTTCTCACATGGAATCTGATCATCAGCACAGTAGGATTAATGACAGAGGTGGTCAGGCTGATAAAACAGCAGAACAGAAACAGCTTAAATGAGTTTGGAACTGCATCTACGATAAGGTCGTAATGCGTCCTCACCCCTTCACACCAGAACTGCAGAGAGACTTTGGTCGAAACTGATGCAAAAGAAAAGACTTTATCACTCTTTGTCTGCCTGCAGGAGGACYGTGGTTGTTTCTGGGAAAACAGACACTAGATACTCAGACTACCACCATCGCTCCCACAGTAATGCCACCAACTCTATCCAATACCTTGGGACATCTAGTTTGGCTCACTGAAACAAAAATTAGCAGGGAAAGGTTTTTTTAAGAATTAGAGGACTTATTTACACACAAGAAAATAAACTGTAKATCAGAGATTTCTCTCAGTCAACATATTCTCAAATTAATCAATTATTATGAATGATGGAAATTCACCTTTTAGCTACCTTTTTCTCTCCACCAGAATTCTGAAATTCTCACAAATAACAGACCTTGGTTTATTTCCTAGTTACTTCRACACAACCTTCTTTTAGTACCTTTATACACATTACAGCAACCTCACCCCTGAAGCTGCAAAGATGAATTCCAGTAACATACAGAACTTCAAAACATCTAACATTAGGAAATGCCTCTATGCAAAACCAGTGCTACAAAATGCATTACAGAAAGTTTTCCAAACAGGGAAATAAGAAAAAAAAAAAAAAAAAAACAAAAAACACAAAACAAACCCTTGTTTTCAACCGTTACAAAAGCTGGATTTATAAAGAAATGTCCTGTATCAAGTCTCGTACACACCCACAATAAAGTTCTTCATGTCTACCCATTTGAAAGAATTCAAGTGTTAGTGACAACTAAAATGTCATATATCTCGCTAAACAGAAAAACTTCTGTGGAGTGACTTGCCTTTACACAAGAGGAGATACACACATGGAGATCTGAATGCCTTTGGGTACTAAAGCACCATTAAAATAATTTCCATTTTCTAATGCAGGAAATCTATKTACAGCAATAAAACCACATAGAAGGTTTTTTGGTTAAACTTCAAGTAAAAAAAACACATGAATTGTCATGGAATGGAAGCAATATACTGTAAGATAGTTTTCTGGCATTTCACTGAAATGGAAATAATGTGGAGGGTAACTTCATGTAAAGTCAGGAAYTAGAACAAGGAAATAAGTTATTTTTTCAGTGCCTGAAAGTCAACTCAATGTCCTGTTCCTCTACAATAAACCATACCAGAACAGTCAGAGCAGAAGCAGCACTACCAGCRCTATAAAACAGGGTTTGACAAGTTGCTTTAAAAGATCTTTTCCATGTCCCATATCCACAGCAGCAACTGACAGCATCAGATTTTCTCRTTCATATTATTTACTTCAAACCAATCTCTGATTATTTGAGTTAGAAGTGTGGCATAAGCAGCAAAGCAGATAGAGAAGAGTACCTAGCTGTACTGTGATTTCAGTGTAATAAAATCCGTGGTTCCAAATTCAGCAACCATGTATGGAACTCCTTAACACATGCATCTAAGTGTCGTGAGGCAAAGACCACCAAAGGAATGTGTACCATCCCACAAAAATCAATAAACTAACTAAATTAAAGACATTTACACTTACATATGGGAGAACCAACAGCCACCAGTGTTTAACACACTACATAAATGCAAAAATACACAGCAGAGGTCAAAAAATAAATTACTGTTAGCTTTTTCTGTTTTTCCCAAATAGCTCTGCAACTCCTCAAATAAATTATAAGTGACAAAAAAACAGTTGGAGGAGTGATAGAAGAAATACTTGGGGCCCAAAAGTTCCTCACCACTCATTCATCCTGAATGAAGCAAATATGAGGACTAACAATTGACACCAGTGGAAAGTACTTGGGCCAACACTCATCATCAAACATGAAGCAAACCATATTGAGAAGAAAAAGCTAAAACACATACCTTGAACACCTCAGAGAAGAATCCAGAGCCAATTTTCTCACATGTGAAGTCATCAAGACGAGTAAGTCTGGAAAAGGCACTTATCAGGGCTCTGTATGAAGAGGTACAAACTCTTCCTATCTGCGATGCAGTCCCTTCTCCAGTGCCACCATCAAAGTCTTCAGTGCGCTCCAAGCGTGGTGGAAATCCCGCTATTGAGTTCCGCTTACTTCGGTCCATTTTGAAAACAAGRTTTTATTTCACTACGGGAGGATTTCTCACATCTTAGGTAATTTGCTGGCTTCTCTACTCTTGTTGCATCCTAAAATACAAGAAATTGAGATTACCATTATTGTGAAGATATCTAACAAGACTGATAGGATTCCAACAAAGCTCACACCAGTTCAAGAGAATAAGAAAGATATCCAAGAAGGGGCACAAAAACCCAAAGAAAACCACCACACAACATCAAGAGTAAAGACAGCAATTTAATGAACTTTTCCTTTAGACTCATTGAATACCCTATGCTCTGGCTATTCCAAGACCAACAGGCTTGAAACTCAAAATTTAACTGGTAACCAGCAACTTTCATTCCCTTCCCCCAACCCTTTCTTTTTTTATTTAAGTTCTGGTTGCTACAGCAAGCAACCAAGCAGGAGGAAACCCACAAAATGTAACATTTTGTTTTACTTCAATTGCAGTTGGTAACCAATCTACTGCTAATGCAAGAAACAATTTCACTTTCAGGAGTAAACAAGGGATCCCCAACTATTAAAAAAAAAAAAATTAAAGATTGACTTTCAATGGACATAAGGAAAGTTACTAGCTTGAATCATCAAAACCTTGTTTTTAAAGCTTCCTCTTATGAGTGTTCCAAGACCAACTCCCTACCTGGTAGGAACACAAGTTTACATCCACTGAACACCTAGCCCACAAGTTATAAAAACGTCTACAACCCTGCTACAAAAACAAAGTATTCTAATAACAATCTGTCAGACAAATTTTCCCCACAAAGATATTTTTAAAAGCTATATTAATTTCAGTTTAACTGAAAACACAGGAAACAAGCTACATTTGCCAAGTAGGAGTAAATGAAAAAAAAAAAAAGGGAGGGGAACCAACATTTTTTTTTCTTTTTAAGAGGATGATGAAGTAATCAGGATGACTCTGGAACCCATCAAATTTGGCTTGACTCTGGAGCCCATCAAATTCAGCTTGGACTGGAAAACTTGACAGGTGTCATACTTTTCTTTAAACCTTRGACTTAGGAGGTTATTCATCTTTTCCAAACTTAAATGTTCATTTACAACAATTTGATGACCACCTACAAAGCCTGAACAAAGTGAACAGTCACAAAGAGGATACTTTTTTTTGCCCCCCTCAGGGTGAATGAAAAACTAGAGAGGAAGGAAACAAAATTTTTTTTTAAAGGTGGACAAAACCACAGGGCAGGCAGTTACTTCTATTTACACAGATGTACAGAACCTGAACAATRCACTAAATTTGAAAAGCTTCTAAAACAGAGGCACACCAGCTGTCCTCTGAAAATAAAGCAGTGCTGCTATAGCCTTGTTTTGTATGGAGTATATCTTTTAGAGATGTTCTGTGCCAACACATCAGGCAAACACATAGTCCTTCACTGCTTTCAGAAATAAGCTCTGTTCAACTGTCTGGAATTAATTTGAGGTTGTCCTCTCCAAAAACAGAAGGGTGTTTATTTCAAACATCTTAACACCTCTCTAAATGGATGTCAGTGGGTAAAAGACTCTTACCAAGGCCTGATTATGAAAATTTAATCTCTAACAAATCCCACCTCATGGTTTTCCTACAGAATTTTGTATGCAGACTCCCACATGCCTGAGCTTACTGCACTTTTCAGACGATGGTGGCCAGCTGCCACATAGGAGATCAGGATCCAGTTTCTGATCTTGTATTCTTGACTCAGGAGCCTTGAGGGTCTGGAAGAGGCACAGAAGCACCAGAGGAAGAAAAACCCTGTTACATTTCCTCAATGGAAAAAAATAGTCCAGAGAACCTCCTCAGCTATACACAAGATGCCTAGGAAATTCCATGGTGCGCTTAAATAATTCCTTTTGATCTGAAAAGGACAAGCTATCTCTTCGTTACTTTTCAAGGACATAAAGAAAGAACTGTCTACGGAAGGAGGACAGACAGAGGAAACCAACTAATTTTTTGGATCAGGAGATGCAAGTTATCTTTGAAGACTGACCAGAAAACCTACTCTAACTGAGGAAACTATTTTTTTAGAACTTATTTCCATCAGAGTTGCACCCACATGCASCAGACACTTGACATGGAAGGAGGAAAGCATTTGCCCCCAGAAATGCTCAACCTGACAATCCAGTATCACAAGATACCATAGGATCACTGCTCCTTGGAAAGTGGAACTTGCAGAACCCCCCAATAAATCCAGTGAAACAACACATCTACACAGTTTAAATTTGCAGGCAAAGCAAGATTTTTTTTTTAATGAGAAAACAAAATAGGAAGGAATGCTGTTGTCTTTCCTAGAGGAAGATGCCAAGTTAGATAAGCTGCATTAAACAGGAGGAAAAGCCTAAATCTCCTAAGTATCCAGATACCATTATCAAAAGATGGCCTCAACACAGTTTCTACATCTATTTAACAAAGCAAAAAAATCTCCCTCACACATTTACACATCCTTTTGATTGAAATCACATGGTGAACTTCGCAAAACTCTATACAAATTACACAATGAAAGAAGAGGTTCAATGTAATTCGTACAAAATAAAGCCCAAAAGGTTTTGCCWTCTGGATTCCCAAGTAACCCATTCCTTCATTTTTGCCTGCTAGAGTTTACCHTATTTCCAGACAGCTACACAAAATCCTTGGAAATTATTAGGATACAGCTCCATTTGTCTATTATCCTGCCCAGGATTGCATACACAGAATTAGAGGAAAATTTCAAGTGGGCACAATTCCAAGTGGGCCTCCTGTCATTTTGGCCAATTACACTAATGATCACATTCTCAATGAAATCAACCAAGGTTTAATTGACTGTCAAGTCAGTCTGAGGTACTTTAATTTACTACCTTGTATGGTTAATTAAAGTGCACTGAACAGAATCCAACACTATCCTGCAAATCCTGTAACCAACTAAAAGGTTGATGGGTGGTTTTTTTCATATTAAGGTTCAGCTTAAAAACTCATAAGCTATGCTCAACAGTCAGTTAAAAGACACTACACACTAGAAAAAACATCTCCTAACAAATTCTCTCCTAATAAATTGTCCTCTTTCAGAACAATTTTTCTGACATTCTTATACAAAAAAAAATGCACCCCACTCTGCCAAGACAAAAATAATTCTAAAATTCACCTCTCAAAATGCGTATCTGTCCWATTTGTCCACTTCTTTCATTACTGAAAAGCAGAATTTCAGAATGGTTCATGCCCTACTACATTTAAATTTCTTGTCTTACCAAAACACACCTTGAAGAAAAAAAAAATCCATTTACTAAGATCAGTTTCTTCACTGCATGAATGCATTGATTTTTTAATTGTAGAAATTACTATAAACACAACTACTATCAGCATTAATGTGGTTAATTAGAGATCTACCTCTCAAAATAAGTGCCTGAGCCTGCAATTAGTTAAAGATGGAAACCCCACAACAACACATCAAGTTATACCCTACACATTAGTGTCAAACCTACAAGTGACATATAATAGCCAGTAATTAACATTTTATACTTCATAGATATAAAAATGGTTTAAGCTCCTCAACTTCAGCAGCATCCCTTTAATGCCTCAGAGCATAAAAAAGATCCTTCAAAAGAAAAATTCAACTCATTAYTAAGAGGTTTTCTGTCCCCAGTATCTTTATAAATATGTGCATATTTGCACTCAAATGTCAAACTCAAAATTTCCTAAAAGATGGCCCTAATAACAACAACCATTTTTAGACACAGAGACGGTCGCTAGGCATTCAGCCTGGAAAGCAATAAATCTGGTGAACGCATGTTATTAATTTGAACAAGTTTTCTGAAGAACAAGATGCCAAAGCTTTGACAAAAGTCATTTGCCAAGAGTTAACTATTTAAACTTCTAGTCTGATATATCTTCAATAGCCAGCACTACAAAAACATAAAGGAATTAAAGGAATTGTGCTGGCAAGTGCCACTTAACAAAATAATAACTTGAGGGGGAAGAAGACTTCATTGTAGTACTGTGCAAGTTTCAGAAGGGCTTCAAAGAAATGTAAAGAACAAAATTATCCCCCCAAAGACTCAACTGACTGAGGTCCATAGCCTGAAGAAAAAAAATAAAAACAAGGAAAAAAATGTTTAAAAATTAAACACAATAAATGAAAATGAACAGGTAAAGAGAATCAGACGCTCAACAATTTTGTTCTCAGCTGCTGTCACTTGCTTCCCTAACACACAAAGTTCCTTGGTTTGTCCCTAACTTAGCTTCTTATCCTTGAGAGGAAGACAATATCAAATATTTACAGATGAGGTARCTACAAATACCAGAGCTCAGACTATGTTTGGCCCAGCTCATTCTGAACCTGAAGTCTTTTTTAACTACTTTATGTGACAAATCTTTAGGCTCAGTTTATGTCTTAGTTACAACACTACATTTGAACATGAAAATCCCAATATTTTCTATTCTCACTTACATAACATTTTGCTTTAATTTCATCTCCACTGTACAGGATAATTCCCAGCTCTAGCCAGTACTGTCACAGCATAAGCTTCCTACAAATTAGGACTGACATTCCTCAGAAGAGACCTGCATTACACATATTACACCACTGCAGAAACTGGAAGTCTGCTGAACTGCATCACAGTTTTATAATGCAAACAAACTTCCACGAGAGGCTGAGCTGAAACAAACAGTTCATTTATTTTGCAACTGTAGCCAAGTTTGAAATGAGTAAGAGAGACCAGCTATTACTGCAGAGCTCGGGATTCAGGGCCAAGGTTGTAGGTTTAAAAATATTTTCATCAGGCATAGGCATAAATCCTAGCACATATTTAGAAGGCTAATATAACTGAGGGGGAATATTAAAAGCTCACAAACAAACAGAAAAMCACTTGATCCTTATGCCCACAATGTAATTACCAACCTTTTTTAGGGTCCAATCACAAATAGAAAACTAAAGCTCTACTGAATACCTTGCAACAATCCATTCCTCTCTAGCCTGGTTTTAGTCACTCCAATCCACAGTGCAGACAGGCTCTAGCCTAGTAACAAAGCATCGTTAGAGTTAAATAACCACTCAAGTAGATCATGTACAAGACCCAGCTGCTGCTTCAAATGGATAATTTTAATACATTATGTTTGCTTAACAAAACAGAGCTCAGAAAAGACACTGAGAAGCTGCTCATGCCTTCCAGGTGTCAGCAGGCTGACATTTGCTGAGCTCTGAAAAAAAAAGAAAGGGAATCAAAGCCTTCTAATACCAACAGGYATTGTAACATCTCAATAATCTAGGAATTTCCCCCTCAGCCTSTCCGCTGGGTTTACCATGAGGGCTGACAGCTCTATTAGCACTGAGGGCTTCACATGAGACTGGAAGCAACTTTTGTTGTTTCAATGCAGCCACTGAGACAATTCAGSACAGCAAAGGCAAGAAAAGAGAACATGAATGCCTGAAAGAGGGATGAAGATAAAGTAAACAGGCTGAATTTCATACCTGACTGACCTCTCTTGGACATAATCTTTATGCATCATCACACAAGACAGTCAATATTTGTATTTTCCAGTTAAAAGCATCATCTCCACAAATATTTAAGACATATTCTGTAGCCTATCTTTACGAAACACAAACCTGTGTTTCTGGCTTCACCTGACAGTGAAACACCAAGTACCTTTTYTATTGCAGGTAGCGGCCGCACAAATGGAACAGTAACAGAGATTTCACTAATTTATGATTTTTTTGAAGTGAGAACAGGGCTTCCCAAATCCATTGCTCTTAAGGTAGTGTAGACACTGAAGTCTGCTGGTATTTACAAATCAATCTGAAGCTCCCTGTACAATGGAAAACACGTAACTCATAGTTTGAGAGCCACAGACCTGGCGTGTACAAGGTCAGCCTTCAAAMGCAAAGTTATCTCAACCAATTCCACTCCTGGCTGCAAAAGCTGTTACATTTCTCCAGTGCAAGGAACAGGACAATCACACCAGAAAGTGGCTTAGCCACTACCAGCAATGTGTTCAACTTAACAAAAAGTGACAGGATCATATGAAAAGAAGCTTACAATCTAAGTCAGAAAGAAGACTTGGCAACAGACAACAGATGGAGCCAGTGTGATACAGTTGCTGATTATTAGATGGACTTACTGATGAACACACAAATTCCAATGAATGTGGTAGGGAACTAATAAGCATGAAAGGGCTTAAAA